CGTATTGCACACTCGCAACTCTAGGCCTGCGAAAAGCTCTCGAAAACCCACAAGGAGGACATGAAGCTGTACGACCCGAACGGCGGCCGTGACAACTTGCGCCGCTTGACTGGACGGTGAGAATGAAACAACGACATACATACATTGCTCATTTGCTTTCAGCCACGAGACGAGCAGCGTCGACCTGTTCACCTATGGCGTCGCCAACCGCGGTTGCTCGGTTCGGATCCCGCGCCAGGTCCATGCCGATCAGATGGTAAGAACCGTGCGCAATCTCGAAAACTTTTACCGCAGGGCTACCTCGAGGACCGCCGGCCTTCTTCGAACGTCGACCCGTACGTGGTAACGGCTTCAATCACTCGCTCCACGCTGCTGATGTGAATCCCCACTTCCAACACTTGAACCTGTTCCACAATTATACCTCCACTCGACGTTAAACTATGGTTTCAGTTGCCATCGAAATAAATCATTCGCAACACTCGAAAGTTCGTACTGATTCTCCGGTGCACACAAGACAATTGGAAACCGAATTAGTCAAACTTTATCCTACCCGGATCAAGGAGCATCAAACAACTGAGGATCACTAGGAATCGAAAATTAGATGAAAGTGAAAATGTTAAGAGGTACGCTAGTGATCGCAAATTAACAAATCCACAGTGACGCACTAACGCAGCGGCCTCAAAGACCGCCGTAAAGATAACTCGGCGGACTCAAAGGGCGCTGTATAGATAACTATATGCTAGTGCCTTGGTCGGGGAAGAATGACAAACGGAATATTAACGGGGAAATACTAAACAAGCCCTAAAGGGGGATATAACAAAGAAAGAAACATTCGAGTGCCAATAAATCGCTTAGAATCCGAAGCCGCCGCTGAACGCACCATTGCCCGATTGCGGAGTCGAGAAGCCGCTGAAGCCTTGGCCGAAGGATTCTAAGGAAAAATTTTAGAAAGATGGAAGAAAACTCACGGGTGTTGTAATCCTGATTCATTTGTCGGAAAGACGAGGGGCCGCCAGCCGCCGGGTAACCGTAGCCCGATTGCTGCTGCTGACCATATCCACCGCCATTGCTCGAAGCGAATCCGGAATATCCGCCTGCGCCGCCGCGACCACCGCTGTATCCGCCATAGCCGCCACCACCTCCACCTTGGTTGAAGCCATTTGGAGCGGAGAAGTTGCGTCGAGGCCTAAGGAAAAATTACAGAAAAGCGACAATTCATACCCAGCGCTTCCGCGCATATTTGGGCGTCGCATGGTGACCGGGCCTGAAGAGTACTTCTGCAGCCACTCGGGAACATTTTGCTTGGCCTCGGTGAGGAGGTTCAGGATGCTGCTGGCCAGGGCGGCGTTCTAAAAAACTAATGGATAAAGTGAAAGCATTATCACTAACCCGGTCATTGAAGAAGGATGTGGCGTAACCAATGTTGCCAGCGCGACCAGTACGGCCAATGCGGTGCACATATTCGTCGATGCAGGACGGGATGTCGAAGTTGATCACGTGGCGAACATCGGGGATGTCCAAACCACGCGCAGCAACAGCGGTAGCAACCTAAAACTGTAATAAGGAAGACAATATTTAATTACCAAAATAGGCCAGCTGCCGTTCTTGAAGAAATACAGGTTTCGCTCGCGCTCGGCCTGGTTGAGATCGCCGTGGATGGTGACCGCGCGTACTCCAGAGCGTCCAAGGTACAGCGTTAAATCGTTGGCGTTGCGCTTGGTCTCGACAAACACCAGAGCCAATCCTTCCTCTAAATTTGGAGTTTGGATGGGAAAATTTTCGTACTAATTTTTCCAATCATGTCCATCAATTTGCCGCGCTTGTCGTATTCCTCAACCCATTCGACGTTTTGGACAATGTTCTCAGTCGTCGAGCCGACACGGCCGACAGTGACGTAGATGTAGTCGGGCCGGAGAAAATCGCGCGCAAGCGACTGGATTTCTCTTGGGAAGGTCGCGGAGAACATGGCCGTGGTGCGCTTCTCCTTCTCACGCAGGCCCAGCGCTTGGATACGACTGGAAAAATGAATGCATATCAACCGACATCATATTCCTTACCGGATCTGTGGCTCGAAGCCCATGTCCAACATACGATCAGCCTCGTCCAAGACCAGGCAGCGGACCTGGCCGAGCGACAAATAGCCTTGCTGGACGACATCGATGAGACGGCCCGGTGTCGCGATAACAATGTGGCTGCCGAGGTTGAGCTTGTTGATCTGCTCGCGATAGTTTTCGCGACCACCATACAAGATTGCGGCGTGCAGGTTGGTGCCGTAGCTGAACTTGACGGATTCTTTGTGGATCTAAACAAATCATATAAGTTTTCAAAACGAAAAAACCTGAATGGCGAGTTCACGCGTCGGGGCCAAGATCAATCCGACCGGGCGCTGGCAACGGCGATTGTTGATGTATTCGGGTCCAGGCAGATTGTCGATGCCACGTGCGAGGAACTTGTTGATCATTGGCAGCAAGAAGGCGGCCGTCTTTCCGGAACCAGTTTGGGCGCACGACATCAGATCGCGGTCGGCGAAGAGGATCGGCATCGAATGCTTCTGGACGGGCGTTGGCTTCGTGTAGCCGGAGCGCTTGATGTTCTCTTTAACCACATCGATACAGGCGGCGTCTGAGAACTGTAAATGGGAAGATTACAAGGTAAGGAAGAGCACGAAGAGCACACGAAGAGCAAGATATGAACGCGGAACGCTTACATTCTCCAAAGGCGTGGGGACATCGTTTCCTTCGACCTTGACCGGGATCTCAGAGTACTTGTCGAAATTGATGCCGCCAGCGGAGGACTCAAACAGCTCCTTCTCAGTCAGCGTCACGCCGTAGAACTGCATTGAGGACGCCATGACTTACGACGAACCTGAAAAAAGTAGTTTTATCAAAACGAAGCAAAAACAGCAGAAAACTGGGAAATCCCAAAAAGAAAATGGAATTTCAGAAAAAAAGGCCGAAAATTCGGCGAACGGCCGCGTTAATCCTCTTGGGCACCGTAACGGGTTGGGGCACGTTTTAGCACCCATCTCTGTTCAGAGTACAGAATCGGAATCCGAACTTTAAAAATAAATTTGCATAAAAACCTATAAAATCGTTTCCAACATCTAAAATATACATAAGTTGGCGCTTTTTATTACTTTTTACGAAAAAATCGAGCATTTTCTATACTTGAGGCCGGTGTCCGGTGTCAAAAATATGCATTACGCGCCTATTCCTATTCTATCTCATCTAGTCGCAGGTTGAGTTTTTGCTTTTCAAGTATTACAAATCGCTTTCTAGCCCTGCCCTTTCTTTTGGGGCTGCTTTTCTCGGCACTGCAATGCGCCCGGAAGCGGAACGTGGTTGGTTGGCCCCGCTTTTTGGAAGGGCCGCATTTGTAGGAAGAAGCTAGCGACGAGCAAGAGGCCCAGAAGCCGACTGGCGGGTCTGATCGCTCGAAGAGTACGTTTTTGAAATGTTTGGCGTGGTCTTCGATTTAACGGAGTACTTTGCCTTTTAGGGGCTGCTCCCATCAAGGGTCGCCAGCCGGGAGATGTGTCTTCGAAAAGTGCCAAGCAGCAGGAGTAAAATAATCTAAAATTTGGAATTTGATAAATTACAGCAAAAGTGGTGCTCCCCGTCGGGCTGCAGCTTCGAAGAAATCGGTGAGCAATTATGAGCCCAAATAATATCTTGGTTTAGGATACCGCTTCGGGCAAGAAGAACGCGCCTGGCGGTGTCGGGAAGCCGTTGGGCGAGCAGAAAGTGGGGGTAGGCAGCAGTTGATTGATCTCTAGAAGTGATATTTTAGAAGTCACAGCGTACGAAGAAGTCCGATTCAAGCCGCAGCACGAAGTCTGCAAGTTCCAAGTCGGCCAAGTTCAAGCAATGGATTAGCACCGGCTTTAGGAAGGGCGGCTCCGGCAAGGGCAAGAAGGAGCGGGGCTCCAATGAGAATGCGGTTGGTGGTTGGCCGTTTTTTTTAGTTTTTGTCCTTTCAGAGCGGACGCAGCGTCAAAAAGGGAGTCAGCCCCCGCGGCATGCTGTCGCTGTCGAAGAAGAAGAAGGTAGGAACGACATAACCTGAAAATGAGCAGCACTGGATTTAGGTGGAAAAGACGGAATTGACGCAACCTCAGTCGCCTGCCACGGATAACACGCAGATCGACGATTTGCCCCCGGCCCCAGCTCCAGGCTCGCAAATGCTCACCGCCACCAGTCAGCAGATGGTGAGACAAAAAGACTCGTTTTTAATAACTAAATACTGAAATGAATATACTGAATACTTTCAGCCCATCTCCCTCCAGCAGCAGGCCTCGAGGTCCGCCTCGCCCCCGATCAATCCCGACCGTTCGGACACCCTCAATCCGAGCCTCATGCAGGCTCCTTCCAAGATGGGCAACAAGCCGGGCGACTCCAAGATGGAAAAGCCGAAGAAACGCGGCTTCTTTGGATTCTTCTCGGGCAAAGACAAGAAAGCCAAGGAGAAAAAAGACGACAGCAAGAAGGGATCGAAGGTAAGTCGAATGCAAGCGCACAATTTCATGGTTTTTAGGAGAAGTCCGAGTCTCGCAAGGACAAGAAAGCCCGCGAGAAGAAGGAGAAGAAAGAAAAGGAGGCCAAGAAGAAACTCGAGGAGAAGGAGCGAAAGGAAAAGGCTAAGAAGGAGAAGAGCGCCAAGGGCACCAAGAGCAAGCGCGGTAGCAGCGAGAAGTCTTCGCTGAGCAAGTCGCTGAGCGGGAAGAACACCGTGGTCACAAAGTCCGAGCTCCAGACCGAGACGCCGCAATCCTTCTACACCTACTGAGCACTAAAGGTAATCTGGTTAGCCCTTTCCCAATAATAACTACATTTTTTGGTATGGACTTCCCCTACACCAACGGCAAAGACAACTCCACCTCCAAAGATATTCGGTTCATGTGAATAAAGTGTTGTGTGGCACGGTTACAAGTATAAGATGGAAACAACAAAGTTTATCAAGGATAACAAAAGATAGACAACAAATTGGGGGAAAACAATTCAAAAGGCCATCACGAGGTCGGGCTGGAAGCAGAAGTGGACAAGCTTGTAGCCGGCCAGCTCGGATAGATGGTTGCAGACGCCCTGCTGCCAGCCGTCGAAGAAATCACCTAAACAACAAGTTGCACGAAATTGATTAATTCATACCAGTCGCTTGTGCAATGTCCTCTTCCCCACTCTTTAACACAGTGCGAACCAGGTTCAGCAGCGGCATAAGTTCTTGCGATTCCATATCATGACATTCGCCCTTGCCAGCGGCACATTTGGCGAGCTTATGCGTGAGGTAGACCACCTAAATCAAATGGTTGCATATAATAAGGTGTCTTACCGCGATCACCACCCCAATCCGATGCAGCTTGATAAACGCATCAATCAGGAATTGGCTCAAATCATGTGCCTGGATGGCGCTCTCGAACTGGTCGAGTATCTCCTCGCTCAACACACGCTTAAAAAGAATTGGAAGTGAAAATTTGGATTGTTATTACCACAAACTCATGCGGGGTGAATCCGTTTGGTTGCTCCAGTGCAATACGGATTGCCTTGTACAGCCGAGGATGCTTGACGGTCCGCTTCAGATCGACACTGGTCTTGCCGACTGTCATCAAGGTGCGGAGGATCTTTGAATGATACCTAAGAACAAGATGTAGCTGAACAATCGGAACTTACACCAGGATCACGGCCCAGCATTTCACATCATCTTCATCTGTGGAAGCGAGCCCCTCAGTGATGAGCGCGTTAATACGCTGCATAATCTCAACCGATCGACTTGGATTTTTCTAAACGAACATCAAATTTAACAATAGAATTATACCATGGACAGCAGATTATCGGCAAGTGCAACGTTCTTTTGGAATGCCGCTCTGAGCTGTGCAGCCGACCAATTAGTCTTGTGCACCGCTTCGAGCATGTCAAGCATTTTTGGGCCGGCTTTGAATGTCTAAAAGAATAATCCACGACTAGCAAAGCGGCTTACAAATGATCGAGTGCGTGTTGAGCTGGAGCTGGCAGATGTGGGGCAAGACTAAAGCAAGTTTGATTCGCGTTCAAACACAAACCTCTGATTCCTCCGCAGATGAATTAACGTGCCCAGGCGTCGCCACTGGCCTAGGAATCCACGGCTGACGCGGACTCGGCTGCGGCCGACGATAGTCTCCTCTCTTCGACTGGTAGGAACCACGCGGAAGGAAGTTGGAATAGTCCGGGTTAGTTCCGCGCCGGCTGTAGCGTGAAAATTCTTGGCCATTGTTCGTTCTTCCGTCTTGATTGCTCGGTGACTGCGTAGTGAAGCCGGTCTGCATGCCGCCGAATCTGTCAGAGGCTTGGAATCGCGGTTCTTCGGACTGCCTAGATGCCAACGTGACAGAAGCAGCAAAATTGCACGGTTTGCCAGCGCGGTTGGCGTTCGGGTCGAGTCCCACGAGAGCTTCCTCATCCATTATGCGAAGTATCTCTGCATAGAGTTTCTAAAAAAAAGAAGTATAAAATAATCGGCAAAATACCGGGGCAAGATCGTCGAGGCCACATTTGTGCTCGAGGCTAATTTTGTTGAGAAACTCGGCGATGCAGCCACAGACTTCGTTTGCGCTCGTGTCCACTTTCCCCTCAGAAGCCATTGCGGCAAGAAATCCCTCGCAATGTCCCCTGTACGAAAAAATATTGTGACAATGGAGATACTCACTTGACAAGTGCTTCCGAGGAATTAAGAGCAGCCCATCCGGTGAAATATAATGCGTTGCGAAGCTTCAGCGCCGCTTTGAAGTCTCCGCTATCTTCGTCGGAACCTAAAATCCAACAAATTAGAACGAAGAGCCGGTGTACCGGTATCGTCGACGAGAAGAAACAGCGTCTCTTCTTGATTCGGGTATTTCGCGAGGAACTCTTTTGCCTAAAAATCATGATAAGTCGAAACAAGTTTGAAGCACCTCTAGCCTGTCATCGCAAAAATGAATGGCGAGTTTGCGCCGATGCGGAATCTCCGGGTCCAGGTAGTCGTGGATTTTATGGGAAAACTTGCTGAAACAATTTCTTTGTAATACGTCGGAAATGCTTACGAGAACGCGTCCTCGCTGAGCTTCTTCGTTTCGGAGCCGATGCGCAACACCGCGAAGGTAGAGACGGTCTAAAAACTTTATCATACTAAAATATTTTGCACCTCAAGCTCGCATTCTAGAGCGACGGCCTCACGGATATCTCCCCAGCCGTCATCGTCGTTTACAGACATCTTGCGATTGCCAGAAATCTGAAAGATAAAGTTTTTCGTCAACTGTAACGCAAAAGATCGAAATTTTGGAAAACGTAAAACGCAATAAAGCTAGAAATTTACCAAACTGACAAAATGGTTTTGCAAATTATTGCTACGCATCACATCGCGGCAACGCATGGCGTAAGGTGGATTGTTACGTAGCTTTTTCGTTTTTATTTTGCTTCAAACATTTTTAAAAAGTTATTAAAAAAACAGAAAAATTGTAAAAATGATAATAGAAACTACAGGCACTTTTGTGAACTTTTGCAAAAGGTTTTCACGCTCCCTAGGGTTATTTTCTCCGTCGAATTTACAAAGTCACCGATGCTCGCGAGCTCAACATCCCCGCCTTTCGACGTGCACATCATATCAACCATAACCTTGTTCACGTTATGCAACAGGGCAAATTGTCGATTCTCTTCTCACCACCGGCTGACCTGATCGTCGGGGCGGAGGGTGAGGGATTATATTAGATCTTATCGCCACCCATCAGATCCCGGAGCCGCTGACCTTCCGTCTGTGTATAGATTGCCTGGGCAAGTTTTTTTACCTTCTAATACTTTATAACTAAATCCCTAACCTTTTTTAACCCATTTCTCCGCTTCATTTTTGAAGATCTCATTTTAGCCAATTTCAATCTATCTGCCAAGATCCTTATCTTCCTTTTACACTTTTCTTATCCAATTCTCCACTTCATTTTTTGAGGATCTCATTCCCGGCTCGTAATTCTGAATTGGCAAGCCCCAGTCGGCGCGCCGAGGGCTCAGGGCCGTCATTTCTAATCTGGAAGTGGGCCGAAAAAGCCGCCAGCCTTCTCGCGGGCCCCCCACAAATTTCAATCTGCCACCCAGGCAGCCTTCGGAAACGCGGCGAGACGAATTCATTGCCCGGCTCGAGGGTTTGGTTTTTTTTGGGCTCATGCCATCCGCTAGATGGGCTTTTTTGGTCGTAAAGAATGTTGCCTGGGGGTTTTTTTAGGAAACGAGGCTGCCGTCTTCAGTATCGGGAGGGACCGATTTTTTTTTCTTGAGTTCAGTGATGCAGATTGGAGTAATAGCCAGTTTTTAGGGGTTTTTTTCAGTCAAATTTATCTATATTTGAAGCCAAAAACTTGCTTAGAAAAGGTTAGAAAATCTAAAAATGTTATTTTTGTGAAAATCGACTATTTTTGACAGGAAAATCAGTATTTTTAGCATTTTCTATTCAAATTTTGTAAAGTTTTGACGTTTAGAATAGTAAAAAAAAACTGCAAAAACACTATCTCTACTCAAATTGAAAAATTGGATCCTAGGGGTACCCCGATAATGCCCAAGAGCTCTTTTTACGCGAAAAGTTTGCCAGTGAAAGAGGTGGCAGGAATGAAACTAAACCCCCGGGGTGGCATTAGGAAACACATTCCCATATTCGGAGGCGTGCGCGCTCCCTTTCTAATGCAAATTTGAGAGGGCGAGAGCCCCCGATTTTTGCGATGTGCTAGACACGTGTTTTTGGGGGTGAGAAGCCATCGAGAAGATACAATGCCGAGTTTTTCCGGGTGTTTCGGGGCATATTCGAGTAGCGGCGGCGGGTGATACCAAGTGCCCCACACGTTCCCACGCACGCATCGGCGTAATTTGAGAAATGTTGACACGGACCGAGAAAATGCCCGCGGGGGTTTCTTTTGGCAGTTCTTTCAATGAGCTTCTTTTTATACGTTTTTTGTACTTTTGCATTATCGGGGGGAGGGGGGTTCTAAGGCTCGAATGTTTCTAATATGGTTCTTTCAATGAGCTTCTTTTTATGTTTTTTGGTTCTTTTGCATTATCGGGGGGGGGGTCTAAGACCCGAATTTTACGTCTCTAAGTTTTTTACTAACCCGTAACGTAAAATTTACAATTTTCATCAGCCAAAGCCCAAAAATTTTGATTTTTGGCCCAAAATGGCGGATTTTCGACTAAAATTTTAATTTAAAAAACCTTTGGTACGTTTTTAGTGTTCTTTCCACACGAAACGTGACCTACCCTTTAATCCACCATTACATTACTAGCCATTTCTGGAATTATAGGACAGACCCCCCGATAATGCGAAAGCTCCGAAATTTCTTTTTTATTGAGCTTTTTTATATATTTTTGATTCGTTACTACCTGGCAACAGCAGAAAAGGGGGCTTCTCGAAGACAACAGGAAATTGGCCGTTACGGGCAGAGGGGTGGGGGCATTTTGTGTGCGCGATTTTGGGGGGTTGTACGAATTTTTGATTTAATTGTGACCATTTTAATATCAATAGCGGAAGTGTTTCTAAACTGTTTTAACTATTTCTAAACGTAAAATACTTTACAAGCTTTCAATAAAAAAATACAAAAAAATATCGATTTTCGAGCAAAAATGGCCGTTTTGACCAAAATTTCGAATTGTTACAATTTTTTCGAGGTTTTAGATAGTTTTTACATAGGTTTTCCGTTTTCCAGTAAAACCGTAGGGTTTTCATTTTATTTAACACTCCGGTTTTAATTTTATAATAATTGTTTAATCGTAGTTTAATATCTTTTAATCAGCTTTCAGCATCTAGGTCATCGCCAGCGGTTGATATTTCCGCAAAAGTGCAAATTCCCCGAGCGGCCAGCCATCAGCACCAAAATCTGCCCTCGGCTCCTCCCCAGAGAACATCTGGGCTGCCCCTCAAAAAACGCTTGCTAGCGAAATGACTAATGGCCTTTTTCGGTGGTTCGGCTTTTCCGACGAGGAGAGTTAGGCATGGGCTTGAGAGTGGTGTGAATCTCTGGGAATTTTAGTATTTTAGTGGATTTTCTTAGCATTTCTTTAGCGTGCCTAAAGATGCCTTTTTGATACGAATAACAGATTTTTTATCTTTTAAAGGGACATGTAAGGAATTTTTATAGGTTATTTGCTATGGATTCGTATGAAACCCGCTTCAAGGCATCCTTACACGAAAAAATTCGCAATATTGAAAATACAATTTGATTTTGATTTAGATATTTTGATGATTAGATTGGATTTTGCGTTTCGAGATTTTTCGGCATTTTTCGAGAGTTCTTTCGCATTGTCGGGCGACGAGAACCGACTTTTTCTAAGGACCCAATTTTTTCTAATACAAATAGCGGAATAAATGGTTTTTACTATTCCTGGGCGTAAAAACTTTACTAATTTCCGTTAAAGATACAAAAATATCGATTTTACCACTAAAAATGGCCGATTTTCAACCATTTCTCGATGCTTTTTTACTGTTTTTCCGCTTGAAATAAGCTATTTTTTCCCTAAAAACCCGTTAAAATCCTTTTTATTACGTTACTAGGGTTTCCTGGCAAAAAAGCCCCCTCCCCGCTTTTGCACCGGCTTAGGCTTAAGTTTAGGCTTAGGCTTAGGTTTGGACTTGGCTTAGCTTTGGCTTAGATTTAGGCTTAGGCTTAGGCATACGCTTATGGTTAGGCTTGGACTTGGCTTGGGCATAGGATTTTAGCTTAGGCTTAGCTTAGGCTTAGGTTTAGGCTTAGCGGGCTATAAAAATTATTTTCCCTAATAACCCTTTGATACTAGCTTAAATGCCGCCCCATAATACCCAGTAATCTTTTGCCATTGTCCCAAACTGTCCGCCCGACACAGAAGCCATAAATCAGTACACATCCCCGGGTCCGGGCGGGGCAAAAAGAGAGAGGGGAGTGCCGAGGGGGGTAGGCGGGGCCAATCTCTGCATAATTCGCCCCCCTCCACCCCGTGTACCCCATTCTAAAGGGTGCCCTCTCTCTTGTCGGGCTCCACCCCCGAAACACCTCCACATCGCGCACATACATAAACCTCCCCGAAAACTAGTGGGGGCCCACGAGGGCTGGGGGGCATTGTTGCATTTTAGGGTCATGGATTGGGGGTTGTTATTATTTTCGAGGTTTTCCGGGATTTAATCTCATATTACGTTTTTTTACGGTATACTGTAGTTTTTTTGATCCGGTTTTTAGCACTTTCAAGGATTTTTGGTGCCAACTTTTTCGAATGCTATTTTTAACGTTATACTGTCGTTGTTTTCTTAGCTGATTTTCACTATTTTCCGCTTTTTGGGGTTTGATTTTTTTAAATTTTGAATTGAATTAAAGTTTTTTGATTTTTAACAGTATACTGTAATTGTTCTAATCTGATTTTATATTTCCAAGGGTTTTTCGGAGGTTTAAGCGTTTTATTTTGATTTTTCACGTTGTAACGCCGTTTCTCTAATCTGGTTTTTGTTATTTTGCAGGTTTTAGGGCATGCGAATAAAAATTAGCGTGTTTTTCAGTTTGTAATCGTTGTTTTTTTACAGCAGTAGTAGAATAATCTTTTTTACAGCTATTTTTTAAGATTTAAGAATTTATTAAGATATCTTTTTACCTATTTTTGACCAAAAAAATCAACATTTTCCAAAGTTTATTTTTCGTGAGCTTTTAATTCTAAAAATCGGGGTGTTTAAAATAGGGCCATGCATTTCTTTAAATTAAACTATAGTTAAAATAAGGTATTTTCGTAATGTCTGGGAAAAACTGCCACACCCGCTAAGCGGAAAGCACCTTTTTAGAGTTGGAATGCCACTTTTTTCCGTATTTTTTTTATTTCGTATTTTTGGTATATTTATTTATCGTGTCTATTTGCATCTGCCCATCATTATTGTCCCTATTTCTGTCTCCTCCATCTCCTCCAAACTGACAGATACGGCCTGTAAATCTCGGGCCAGCCGTGTCTACCTGGCGTTTATGCCCCCGGGGCGCTGGTACTCCTTGTTTCTGGTCACCCAACATCTGGCCTAATGACGAAAGTGATACTTTAATATATATTCTATTTCCTTGTTATTAAATTCCCTATATTTATTGATATTAAAATTATTTTTATTTCAACCGAAACGCGCAAAATTTCCTTATATTTACAAATGACGAAAATTACCCTAATGATACTTTACACCTTCCTTATTTTTCATATTTTTAACTTTTTATGATTACTTGTCATTTTTCAAACGCTATT